AATCGCATTAACACAATCCAAATAGCAGAATTTCTAACAAAAAAAACTTTAGCGGGCCCTCAAAGAGTATGTGTACTAATATGTAGATAAGTATTTTGTTTGCCTACTTTTCATTAAGTTGTGTGAAGGGACTGAGAAATTTGGGAAGGGGGTATATTCACTAAATTTGTCTAACCGTAATCTGGTACACGTACTATGGGAATACCCTTGAGTGAGTGTGGGAAATACATCAACTTTTTCGCATGAATCGTTGCACAAAAATGTCATAAAGGTAATGAAATCGGGCAATGACCTTGTTTCAGACTAATATTTCACTATTAGGTTCTCGCGTAGTATGTGTACCAGGTTAGGGTTAGTCCATAATTTTATTCCGATTTTCCTTATTTTAGTTCTATTTCGAGGGGATTGTTTGTGACAGCCAAGTAAATATACCCCCTATCAATAGGTTTACAACTTGGCGTAAAGTAGGCGAACAAAGTTAGTTACTACCTTCATATTGGTACGCACACTTCTGGAGCGCCCACTATTAACAATGAGTGGTGAAAAGTATTGAAATACACAGTAACTATTATTATGTACTAACTAACTTTTTGATAGATTTGTAAAGACTTGTTCCAGAATGAAACTTGTTGGACATTTTATAAAACTGATATTGGTTTGATTCCTTAATCGGGTTAAAATATTATCCGAAGGATTAACCGTTTGAAACGTTAAAAAGAACTTGTCTAAATATGAAAAAATACATCACCCCTTCAATCTTGAAAACAAAATTTGTGGATATAATTTTTTGCATAGTTTTTACCAAAATAATGGCTTTATTTTTTGAAAAAGATAAAAAATTGATCTGAACAACGATTCTAAGAATTATTTTATTAAAAGAATTATTATGTATATTTGCAAAAATTATTATCATTTTACTATTTCGGATATTTTACCCATTTATTTTAAAAGTGTAAAGACACTTTTCTTCATCAGTAATCGGACCCGGGATAAATATCCTATGCTAACATATCACTTTTTCACAGAATGGCTGCAATTTGTTTGCAAGGTGTTAGACCAGTGGTCCCCAAACTAGGGTCCGCGGACCTTTCGGGGTCCGCTAAGCACTTTCGAAAGGTCTGCGAAAGAAATCTGTTTTATGCCTCATAGTGAAATAATGCAAAAATGAAGTGCTTAAATCTGAAAATTTGATGACTTTTGAGCTCCACAATCACTGATAGTTCACTTTTTGTTTCGATCACGTTGTCCCATTGTGATGTCACAAAGCAGCGGATCTATGACATCACAGAGAAAGTTCAGTTGCTGCCACTATAAGTCAACTAACTGCCGAGGTGTAGCTGACGCTGCCCCTGCACCTCTGTTGGTATAGGTAGTTTATAAAGTATGCCAGTCCGCTTCGAAACGCTGTTTTACGCTTTTGTAGTGAACGGTAGGTAGCGCTAACCAACTTTGGTTTTTCGCACCACCCTTCACCGTGAAATGTCATTTCAAACTTTTTTAAATTCATGTTCACAGTAAGTGCATTTTCATTTTGGTGAATAATAAACTACTGACTGACGTTAAGTAGAGAGTAGTCAGAGAGGCACTACGTTTAGTTTTTAGCTGTCAAATTTAGTCTATGACACACGGTAACGGTATGCATATATTTTTACGTTTTTCGCTCTGTAATATTAATTTCAAAATGTGTTTTAAAATTGTGATGTTAGTTTATTGTGATAAACACAGGTGAAGAGAAGTATTTTCACTATACCGTACGACGCATTTATTTTTTTTGTTGTGGTCTTTCAATGTTTTATTTAAGCGCATAGGGCCGCGAATCATTGAAAAAATTGAAAGGGGTCCGTCATGGAATTTTTTGAAAAAGTTTGGGAACCACTGTGTTAGACAATGATTCTTCGGACAGTTCCACACTTTCAAATATGTCTGTTCTTGAATGATTGGTCTTCTCGTCTGCGGATGAAGGAATCTGTAATGAAAAGTACAGTATATAGTTCTGGCGAGTACAGCATTATTTGTCAGTGGGCCGTATGACTTCAGACATCTAGCTGGATCACACAAAAATCCATACAGGAAAGCCTCGCCGTAATGGAGGCACCAGGGAGAACAGCGAAAGATTTGTAGGAAATTTCCCTTTCCCTAATTGCTTGGTGTTATACAGTTTGGTAATCAAGATTACACATCTCAGGCACAAAATTTTCTCCCACCTCGCCAGGGTGTCATAAATTGGGTAGCCAATGCCGAAAACGAGAAAATTCATATCCTTCCAAAAATATCAGCTATTCACATATCGTTAAATATCAGTGGCTGCCTTTGGTGCAAACGACGAAATACTAGATCTTATGAGTATCTTTGCGCAAATTTTCACGGTAGAAGAAGTAATATAGAAACTGGGGCTCTAGAGTTGGATTGAGACTTTTCATTTTTGGGCTTATTTTAGAGCCAAAGCAAATATAGTATTTCAGTTATAGAACATGATTTGTTGAGGACCCCTAAACCATCTCCACTAAGTTAAAATATACGATAAGAAAATATTTTCAATCAAAAACGTCCTCGATGTCTTGTAAGTTCTTCAAGTCCGCGCGGCGCTTATAGAAATTCTCTCATGTCGGCTGTAATATATTGCCGAACCACACATGGGCGACGACGCTAGAATATGTGCGCTATATTAGGGATTCTTATAAACACAGAAAAACAGTATTTGAAGTTCGCGATATTTGACTTTTAAATTCGAATTGGACATTCCTGCATTAAATTAGTCAGTTTTTAGCTGTGTTCCCAAAAATTAGTTGTAAATAAAACTTTCCACCTCCGACAAACATTCACGACTCTCGAAGTTGGCACGGCTTGGTCAACCAAATATCATGGGCTTACGCCATCTCCCCCATTATGCTCCCATTTCGCGACCTTATAAAAAAGGGATCCAAATTCATATGGGACGACACTCTTCAATCTATATTTGAGAAATCGAAAGAGAAACTTATCACCCTATGTGAAGAAGGGATCAAATCATTTGACCTTCATCGACCATCTTTGATTCAATGCGACTGGAGCAAGGACGGCATTGGCTACCTACTTCTACAGAAATATTGTACCTGCGGTACAAATGAAGCCCCAAATTGTTGCCCTGATGGTTGGCATCTCGTATACGCCGGCTCTTGGCAAACTTCACAAGCTGAAAGAAACTATGCACCCATCGAAGGCGAAGCGCTTGCGGTTGCTTGGAGCTTAGACCATGCCAAGTCTTTCATCCTCGGCTGTAAAGATCTCATTGTAATAACCGATCACAAACCCCTAATCCCATTGTTCAGCAACCGACAACTATCTGACATCAGCAACCCACGCGTGCTGAGATTCAGATCAAAAGTTTCTCAATACGATTTCTCCATACACCACTGTCGTGGAAAATCGTCGTGTCGCGGGCAATAACTATCGATAGGCTTCAAAACGCTTGTCAAGCTGACAAATCACATCAGCTGTTACATGAAACTATTTCTTCTGGATTCCCTTCCACAAGAAGTGCCACTTCGCCAGAGGTTCGCTCCTATTGGGAACTACGTAACAGACTATCTTGTTTCGACAACAAGATCATTGTTTTAGATAACAAAAGATTTGTTATCCCTCGACAGCTCAGATCATCTGTGCTTCATACACTACACAGTGCCCACCAGGGCTGCACAAATATGGTCGCTAGGGCAAAAGATTGTGTATACTGGCCGGGAATGAACAAATGCATTCTCAACTTCAAATCTTCTTGCTCCACATGCTCCTATATTGCACCATCTCAAGTTCAAGAAACTATCATACCAACACCTCCACCCCAATGGCCTTTTCAACAAATCTGTGCTGACCTATTTTATCTAAATGGTAACGATTACTTAGCAATCACAGACAGATTCAGTGGATGGATTGAAATTGCCCACTTTCATCGATCACCTTCCACAAACCGCATCATTCCTGTTTTCGAACAACTTTTCACGCGCTTTGGCTGTGCTGAAGAACTCAGTACTGATGGTGGCCCTCAGTTTGCTTCAGAGGAATTCAAGAAATTTCTGGAAATTTGGGGTGTGAAAGGCGAATCTCATCAGCACACTATCCACAATCAAATGGGCGAACTGAACTTGCCGTAAAAACAGCCAAACGACTCATCCGGGACAATTTACTGCCAGACGGTTCCCCAAAAAGTCGTTCATTCGGCAAAGCACTTCTTCAATATCGAAACACCCCTCTCCGTGATATTGGACTCAGTCCAGCACAACTTTTGTTTTCTCGGCATCTGAAGGACTTCTTACCTATTCACCCATCAAACCTACGGCTCAATCCACTGTGGACACAAGCAGCCAAAGCTAGAGAAAAAACTCTTTCTCAGGAATATATTGACCTACAAACTGAATACAACAAACATGCACACGACCTACCATTTTTAGAAGAAGGAACAAACGTTTCAATCCAAAATCCCATCAGGAAAAGTTGTAAAATGCTTCAAACACCGTAAATACTCGATTAGAATGGATGGATCTGGGAGAACAGTCACACGAAACCGGAGATCCCTAAAGCCTATTTTGTTCGAACCCCAAGCCACAATTCCCATATCACTCAACCTGCCACATTCCAGCCATATCTCCAGAGCTAACCACCCTCCAAATTCGGGGCCCCCACCTTTTCGCCCTTTGTCAAACCAAACTAGTCCCTCAGCTATTTCTCGTCCAGCCACGCACCCACCAAAATTACCTCTGGCATTGAGGCGCCTACAGCCTTACAACAAGCCAGGGCTGTCTGAATGAACATGACTATACTGACTGTTCTATGTGATAAAATAGGACATTTGATAATGAATACTGAACAATTTTTATTTCTTTGTTTATTGCTGTTCAAATGTTTCTTTACCTGTTGCTATTTCGTTATTTATTCACTCTGTCATTTTGTGATATTTTGAAAAACAAATATCTTTTTCCTTTACGAGGGGGAGATATTGGGATATGCCATTTCTCTCTAACTGTATCATACATGTTTGTGTTATTTTCTATTTAACTGATTGGAGTATTTGGTTGTATTAAGATCTTTGTTAACAGTTAGACTTACATTAGGTTAAATGTGTTATGCTTCATTCACAAACATTGGATTTATACAAAGACACTCAAGTTGGTAATCTGTAAAGAATCTGCTCATCAGACTTCCCAACAATGAGTTTTCGTGCACTTTTGACAGTTCTTCCGTGACGAGATTCCGAAAAGCATCTCAGAACAGAAACCATCAGATTTGTTAAAGTGTCAATATCACTTGCTTTGGAATCCTTCAGCACTTGGACCAGGTAGAAAAAGAACATTGGGTTCGAAATAAGAAATGGTACTTTCTGTCTCAGCTCACCAACGATTCTTTTTGCTTCGGGACCGAATAATTTTCCAGCAAGAAGATTCAATGTTTCATTATCCCATCCCCCTAGGGCGAGATTTGAAGTGGCTTTGAGATCAGGAGGTAACTTCCAATAAACATGAAACCGTGTTGTTGACAAGATCTTCATTCCTGGATAGAGATGGTCAGATAAAATATTGGCAATAATGGTGTTCGTTTCTGAAAGTGTTTCAGGTCCAATTTTCGGATATTCATTTTCAAAAGGCTTTTTCATTTGATCCAAGCCATCAACTACAAGTAAGATATGTTTTGAATTTTGCTTGAACCATTCTTGTCCAACTTTATGGAGGCTTTTTGGAAGTTTCGATCCAAGTTGTTGGATGAATAGAAGATCAAAAGCAGTTGTGGGATAGCCACTTTGTAATTTAGAAACATCAACAAATTAAACCATCTTAATTTGCTCTAAAAATACCAACCTTTTTTCCAAAGCCAGCATTGTATATCTCATTGAAAATGTTGTTTTTCCAGAACCTGTGTCACCTAGCAACATGACATGGTTGACTGAGCTATCAGAATAAATCTCTGTAATATCCACTGATTGCAGACTAGTCTGGTCGTTGGATTCCAATTCCTTGAACTCAGTCACCTTGGGTGGTATGAAATATTCCATTTTTGTTTTTTCCATGGCAGGTTTCAATCTAGATTCCAACATCTGCTTCATAGAATTCTCCACGACTTCAAGAAACTCTTTTGCTTCTGAAACTTCAGTTGTTTGAGTTGGTGTTACTGCTGAAACTCTAGTTGGGTCAGGTGGTTTCACTGAAAAATCTTTAACTGATTCAAATAACTGTTTCACATAATTTGCCATCATTCCAAGATATTCATGATTACTCTTTACATTCGCCATTGCTTTGGCAGATGTTTCAGGTGGCGTTGGTTTCTTCAAGTTTTCAGATATTTCCGATATAGATCCAACAGATCCACTTAATTGTTCGTTTTCTGCCTCATCTTGCTCTTGAATAATCTGCTCTTTCTCAACTTGATTTGCATCTTGAATATAAAGCCCAACCACCATTTTTATTTTTTCTATCACAGCTGCATCATCAGTATTTGGATATCTGGAATGTCTCCATTTAAACAGTAATTTAAGGTTGCGCTCCTCCACTGAGAATCTATTATTTTCTGTGATACTGTCGACTTCATGCTCAGTAAGAGATAATCCCTGCCCTGATCTTGCAAACTGTTTAAATTTCTTGGATGTAAATTGCATTATAACATCTTGAAAAACATTCTCAATTCTGCCAACATGCGCAGCAGGATCTCGTTGATCAGCCACATAATATTGCCTCACAAGATCTCTTATTTTTTCTGGAGTTGCATTCGCTCCATTTCTTTCAACCCAAAGCCACAACAATTTCTTCTTCTGCTCTTCAACTGAGAATCTGTGGTTTTCAATAATCGTAGTGACGTCTTGCACACTGAGGGAGAGTCCATTCCCAGATTGTGCGAAGGTAAAGAAATCTGAAGTTGAAGCAAATTGTTTCACACATCCTCTGATTACATCTTCTAGTCGGTCACTCATATTCAGATACTTGGGGAAACTACTATATTATTTCTGTATCGCAAACTACATTGAATAGTTGGGGGAACAAAAAAAACAAGCAAGAATCAGTCACTCATATCTTCAACTATATTTGTATTGCAAGCTACACTATGTAAATGGGACAGAGAAAAATAGTAAGATTAAGGACTTGAGATGTCAATGAGAATGTACATGCATCTTCAACAACCAAAATGTTAAAAACAAACTGACTCAATAATCTGAATTTTGAAGTTTCGATGTCTATACTACCGTAACAACTCGCTTAATCCAAAACAAATCATCGAATTCCATTTACCTACAAGCACAATGCTGCATATCAGCTCATATAATGTTTTTGCTTAAAATTACTGCTTTTGTGGAATAAGCCACTTCAATTGTAATGGCACTCAGGTTGGTATGGCAGAATTCTTACTAGATAGGTGCTTTGACCAATAGTAAAAAGTTTATTTTAACAGCCTAATATTCAGAGCCCTGTATGTAGTTGTAATAGTGTTGTGGATTAAAATATCCACAACAAGCACCAGGTTCATCACCTTAGTCAGAAAGTGATAAATCGGGTTAGCAATGCAAAATTGGAAATATTTCGGTCAACCTAAAGACAGCAACACAGTATCATTGACTGTTTGTACAGAGCCCTGTTTGGAACAGAGATACGAAATTTCATTTGGAAAAAAACATTAATGAAGACATTCAACGACAACAACAAGCAGTAATTCCGTCAGTCAAGTATTGGAAATCGCACATGTCATTAAAAATTAGTCTAATTTAGAGGTTCCAAACCTTATTTCTGTATATCATCTATGGACATACTCTTGAGTGCCATCTAACTTTGACTAAAGAGGCAAAAAAAAAACACTATAAAATGTTCACTGGCTCAATAACATACAAATATAATACAAAGAAAACAAATGAATAACCAAATTTTTCAAACTAAATCCAAGTCATGTGAGTGTACATAAACGAGCTAAGTATAAGCTCAACACTTTTCATTTTAATCTCCCAACCTATGTATTAGAATAAGTTAAATTGAGAAAAAATCCTTACAGACTGGTAATGAAAAATTTAGACAGTAAAAAATTGCAAATGATACTAAAACCCAATTTCAATTTTATTCACATCCCAAGCCTGTTTACTGAGCTACTGGTTAAAAATTGCTACAAACAACAGACATACTCAAATCCGTAAAATGAAGAGATATCCATATCAGACTGTCCTAAGTTTTTTTCAAAACTAAAATTGTAAATCCAACTTAAAATTATCCAATACTGCAATACATTTAAATCCCAGGTTGCTTTATCCTGTTATATCCATGTTTGCAAATGGAAGACCAGTAAATAAGCATTTAAGATATTAAAATAGTGTTAATAAATATTATGAAAGAAGAAATTAGTATATTCAGATATTAGAAAACATAAAGACTAGTAACGTTATATCCTGCAAAACTAAATATTGCATAATAGGGTAAGTTATCATTTTTATTTCGGAGAGGATAGCCGGCAAGACGGCTTAATCGTATGGCAAACCTCTGGCCCTCATCCAGTTGCCAGTCATGTCAAGTATAGGATCAACTAGCCAGTTATTTATTTCAGATGCTCAAACTTCATGGTGAAGGAAGCCATAACCGATCACAGGTCAGATGTACATAAGCCGTCCACCCTAAGTCAAAAGTTGAGAAGGCAAATCCTTCTTTTGGAACTCTAACCTAGGAACCCACACGGGTAATCAGCAAATTAATTTATTTTAAGTAGCCTAAATAATTCATTCTTTACAAATGGAAAAACTCATCTATAACTGTTTAATGACTGAATTTACGATATCGGTGCGGAATAGCTACTACCCACCGTACGGTAGGGACTGAACTAGTAAATCTATCCTATAGAGCTCTATCCCGCTGCTATGGAAATATCCCAAACTTTTCGCACTAAAGTTTGTATTAATCGTCCACGTGAAGTCGACCACTGAAACTTCTATTTGCTATATCTGTTTGACAACTGACGTCTCCATGGTGACAACGCTTTTATCGCTCCAGCGGTAACCTCATCGCAAGCGAATCAACTTATTGGAAGCCAGACAAATGCATCAATCAGCGATCGACTCTGCTAATATTTTGTAAACAGGTCATTAGTTGACAATCAGTATCGTTTTTCCTGGTCAAACAATGTAATATTAATAATGACGTCATAATTTGTCGAACAATGGATCCTCGTTGGAATCGATCACGTGGGTAAAACAATTGACAAGATGACAACAAATTATAAACGAGAATATCGGTCAGAGACTGAAGACTTATCGATCGAAAGTTAGGGGATCCCCCAAAACAGCGCTCTTACTCCATAGTGACACCTTGTGTCACATCACTAATTAATTAATACCTCGCTAATTATACGACATAATTCGCCCAAAATCAATAGGCTTCTGGTCCGAAATAAGATGAATGCACATGCAAAATCTGGAGCAGATTCAATCGTTTTCGTGAGATATCGCGTGCTTCTAACAAACATACAAATACCTATCAACGTACTTACCGATTAAAATCGATAAGTAATAAAAGAAAGCGTACCACGCGGAATAAATAACTTGCCGTCTTACAACATGGAATTTGTCCTCTTTGCAAGCAAATTTCCTTTATGGGGTGTACCCAGTAATGAGCTGGAAAAATCGTAACAATCGGAACGTACCTAATACGCAAAAATATAATATATTTACAACACGACGCGGACGTTTACAAAAATTTTAGTCTGGCCTAAGATAGAACCGAAGAACTACAATGAAATATGAAGAAATTATCTGAACTACGTCTGCGTAAAATTACAATAATATTCATAGCGATTCAATACAAATATTATTTTAAAAAGGTATGAGATGAATTTCCATGAGGTCAAAGATCAGGGGAACATCTATTATGTAAAAAGAATTACGAATTATGGGATAACAAAACATAAATTAATAACTGGATTCACCAGAGAAATTAGAATTTTTGTACTATAATTTTATTTTAACAACAAGAACGCAAATGCAATAAAATGTCCAACAAACGGAACGCCGTTCCGGTGCGTTCCGGCTACAGCTCACCACTGGGTGTACCAGATATTTAGGCTCAAAGCATTTCGGAGTATGGACAAGGGTCGGCATGTCCACTATTCTGTTATTGCCACCAAATATAATGAAACAAAAGTGTGAATCTACGCAAATGTATTGAAATCAAGAAGACCCGAAAGTGGAACTTAATAATTAAAGAAACAGATCAGAAAATTATTGGTGGAAAACAAGGTCTGTTTGGGCGGGACCTCTCTCTTTGAACAGGAACTTTCCGATTTGGTTGTATATAGGACTTTACCACACCTACACTTTGAACAAGGAGCCTTGTTCATATTTGAAGGCTTATTGGACACGTTTAGTGGACCGGTGTCGCTGACACGATGACTCTGGTAGTCTTTCGCGGCCCCGCGTCAATTGCGGAAATATTGTGTGCCTTTCTATTTCAATTGATCTTTTTGTTAGCATTTTTTTTTCTTATTACTTGTGTCGCTACAATATTTCATGCACGACGGAAATAAAATATCTGAATCTAGTGGACATAACGATCGTTTTGTTGTTCTTTGACACGTTTTGGATAAATCGCTTTTCTCTTTGATTACTGGACCAATTGCTGTGAAATTTTCAGTGGTTAAAGATAAAATTTTCTTCAGAAGGCTATTACTTTTTTTTGCTATGACGTCATCAAAATTATTGCCGTTAGGCGGCGCTACGTGTCCATACATTTGAGCATAGCTCTCTTGTTTGTGTATGCATCCCAATACATCCCATTTGCTGTAAAGCTTCTTCACACTTTCCAACTGTAAGCTAAGATAAGCACCACAGTTTTGACTTCAAAAATATACTTTTATTTCATTTGTGGCAAAATTGAAAATGCAACTGAATTAACTCGTTAATCAAAGTAACAACAGATCGATGAAAATACAAGAAAGTCCGAATTGAGAAAATTCATGAAACCAACTATAAATTGAAACAAAGTCTAAAAAACTATGGTGGATTAACATGATATAGCTATGAAATGTTGTCAAAATGTTCGACCTACCCATATATCCTCACATACAAGCTGATCTCGCAGCTCTTACTGATACAACTTAGCACTTATACGTCGACCCCTCAGTTTGGCAAGATTTTTTTTTTAATTCTAAACTTGGCTTATATGTGAGGATATAAGGTATATATCAGCATTGCAGATTAAAGATCTTGAGTTCAAATTCCACAACTACTACCCAAGGTAAAATTGGGTTGGCAATGTCTAATCGAAAGACATTTTTTACTTTCAAATTTGGTAGCTGATAATAAAGTGGCTGCCTATACAAAGATGTTTTTTTTTTTGGAATGAAAGCGTGAAATGCTGCATGCCAGGATTTTTGTATTCTATGTTTATTTAAAATCTTAATTTAAGTTTTACTAAGAATTACCAGTCCAATACCAGAGAAAAAATCAGACTTCAAAGATCATTGGAGGATCTGGGAAAATTATTTATGCAAATTTTACTATACAGCCGTTAAGTTATTTGCATGGACACTTGGGCAATACTTCTTCAATCAAGTCTTAATACGAGCAGATACTATCTACTACTACACGAGTGGGCAAGGTTTTTGAACCAGGGGCAAAAAATTTCGCTCACCCAGACCGACAGGCCATGTAAGTGTGACATAAAAGGTTAAATTTCATGAACAATATTCAGTGTTACAAAGGCAAAAGTGGGAAACAATAAGCCTCATGTCAAAACTAAATATAATCGTAAGTTTTTTGAGTTAATGTTTAGGGTAAACATCAAAATTTGGTTTTAGCAGCATCAGGCGAGCTGAATTACCCCAATGGCCAGATTCCAACTTAGTGAGGGCAACTAAAATAACTATGTCCAAGTTGTTCAGTAATGTATTAGACAGAAATTGTAACAGATAGGTACAGTTGCCAAAACATCGACTCATCTCAGTTGGCATTGCAGGTTACAGACAGCTCAAACCTCATGGCCACCACTTCAATAATGACATAATAAATGGGCCTGGTAGTTAGAGCGTTTGGTCTTCTTCACTATGTTTGTTAAATATCTCGGGTCCAATTCCCATGTCCACCACCTCACCGAGAGTGCAATAAATTGAATAGGCAATGCCAAGGGTCATTCAGGCTTGGCAGAACAGCTTCAGAAATTCTTCAATATCAGAAAGATATTCTCTAGGTATTTATTGGAACAACTTTCAAGTTTTCTCATCATCTCTCGTTTACAAGAAGATGTCAGTTCTTGAGTGATTCGTCGCTTCTTTTGGAGATAAAAGAACCTGTAATAGAAAGTATATAGATGGTGCATGAGATGATACAGAGGTTTTAATTCTACAAACTATATTTTTAACAGTGCAGTTCAAGGCAAAGAAACTTATCTCGGGGCAAAGGTATGGGCAATTACCGAAATTCGAAGAGCCACTGGAACCAGTGGCGCAACCAGATCATTTTCAACGGGGGGTCCGACCGGAATTTACACAGTGCAACCACGACGTAAGTCGCATGCCACTAGGTGGCGCCCCGCTGAAACACAATAAATTGCTCGTGGTTAAAATGGAAACGCCATCGATCAAATCCCAGCCTTTCGCTTACCTTGCCCTCGTTCATTACCGGCGCTTCGCTATGTCTTGCACCTCGTGGGTAGCAAAACGCCGTTCATTACATTCCAGCGAATTGCTAACGAAAAGCTGTTAATTATTTTCAACGTTTCCCTTGCTTTGCACCTCGTGGAATAAATTCCAGTGTTTCCCTCGTGCCGCGCCTTGCTCGTTGGGTGAATTCGTCAAGACTAAAAACAAAATGCACTTCTTGCGAATGGACCTTTTCCCGACTCTTAACCCCAGAAAAATTCTAAACTAAACTGAAGCTCACCGGAAGACATAATGACAATTAAAATAATTGATTTACAACTAATTTTTGGAAACACAACTAAAAACTGACTAATTTAATGCAGGGATGTCCAAATCGAATTTAAATTCAAATATCGCAAACTTTAAATACTGTTTTTTCGTGTTCATAATAATCCTGAGTATGGCGCGCATAACCTAGCGTCGTTGTCCATGTGTGGTTCGGCAATATATTACAGCTGACATGAAAGAAATTCGATAAACGCCAATTTGAAGAACTTATAGGACTTCGAGGACGTTTTTGATTGAAAATATTTTCTTATCGTGTATTTTAACTTAGTCGAGATGGTTTGGGCGTCCTCTGCAAATTGTGTCTTAATTAGTTGTTTTCATCCTCAGTTTCGATAGTGGCCGAACATAACAGGAAATTTTTTCATTTCTAGTAATTTAGCGAGTATAAAATAGCTCCTAAATAGTATTTAATATCTATCGCGGATTTCTTCGGCATCCGGCGTTGATGACAACATCGTTCAGTTTAAGTTACCGGTATTCATTTACAAACAAAAATACATAACAGCTGGCAGGAAATATTCAAATCAGCGCAGAGTTCAAAAATAAAACACGTTTTATGGTCTTAATATGCACATAGAAAGAAGAACAGAGAAATAACGACTAAAAACTAAGATCGGTATGGTGTGTTTGTGTACTTTTGTTTACCATCGTCATCATATTTAAATTAGTTGAACCCGATTCCCAAATTTCCGTCCGCCAATAATGGGGAATAAAGATGGAAAAACGTGTTTGACTTTTTGAGTTGGCGTTGATTTAAATTTTTCATGTTATGTGTTATAATTTTTTGATTATAAACCAATACCTCCAACCTAAAATGAACGTTATTGTTATCAACGACGTCGGGATAACGATAAAATCTCCGATAGAAACCAAATAATATTTAGAAGCTATTTTACAGATTGCAAAAAATTAAAAAAATTCCCGTTAAGTTCGATAACACAACATATCTTGAAATATACAAAACAAATGTAAAAAATTTTCAACCAAAAACGTCCTCGACGTCTTAAAAGCACTTCAAGTCGGAGTTTATTGAAAACCTTTCACGACGACTGTTAGGTATTGCCGTGCCACACATGGCTGCTTTCGATTGCGATAAAAAATGAAATAATTGTGAAATGTGTTTAAATCAGAACGTGGACAAGGGCGGTAGGATGTGTACAGCGTTTTCAGTTTTCGGCCTTTCATATGTGGAAAATCTTAGATTAATCGAAGCAATATTTTTCCGAGTTTCTACTGCATTATTATAACATGAAGATGGGCGGCGTTACATTGCGTCAAGATGATGAAGCACAAGAGTATTCGTCACAAGAGAGAGAGATAGCATTATGCTATTGTCGCTTTCAATTCGCATTGACAGCGCGCAATTTCTACTTTTTTGAGGTAACATATCTCATTTTCGAATACAAACATATACGCGGGGATAGCGATTATTACGTAACTAACAGCCAAAAGGTATGATTGAAGTCGGGCGGTGTTAAATTACGTCAAGGTGATAAAGCACTGGAAAAAAGTAGTTTTCCCCGGATTGTTATGACCGTAGAACGACGTTGTTTGAACGTAGAACAATAATAATAAAAAACAAATTTCAAACGGGGGGACACAACTCCCGTAACCCCCCCCCCGCTGGTTGCGCCACTGACTGGAACCATCATCCCCACCAACCCCAAAAAAATAATAATACTAACAAAAGCATTCACCTCTTATGGTGGGCAATCCATTCTTATGAAACTTCTCTATGGTATTTTGAGATTTTCCAATTGAGGGATTGTTGATTGGAATCATCTCCAGATATCCTGTGAATAGAAAAACATTGTTATACAAATTTCTAAATGATATTACTATGAAATCGGAATATTTTTTTCGAAAACCTTGTATATATATTCTATTCTAAAGGAGAGCAATCACCCTAGCAGTTCTGTCTGTAAAGATTGTACTTTGTTTTATTAGAACCTTATCCAATGCTATGCTTGAAGATCCTCAAATGACATATTTATAGAGGCGCAGTTCTTACCACTTCATGGCAGCTCCTGCCACGAACGAACCGCGGCAGCTCTTGCCATGGTTTTATAGCGCTATTCAGTAATCAGTATTAACGGTATATTCACAAATTAATGTACCAGATTTTAATTGATCATGTGGAATTATATCTACTTAAACCCTAACCCTAACCCCAAATCAATCAAAACTGTATCCATAAGAAAAACGTTCCAACTTACCCAATATTTGTCACCATAATAGACAGCCCTGTCTTTACGACCCACCTGCCGCGGTTACGGCAGCAAAATTTTACCTGCCATTGGTTTTCAATTTGCTGCCGCGGTAACGGCAGCTCGAGATTGGTTTGTGGCAGCTAAAAAGTCAGTTGCCATGAGTTTGGCCGTAGCGGCCATGGTATGGAAATACTGCCATGGTTTTGCGGCAGCTGCAGATGCCACAGAATACTTAAAACTGCACTTGTATTTATACAGAGATGAAAAAAATGACCCAGTTGGCCAAGACCTCTAGGTTGATTAACTACCATAGTTATAGTTTTTAGAGGATGTCCATGAAGTCTTTTTTAAATGTTGTTTTGGCCCTCACAAACATAATAAATGAAGTAAAAATACTTAAACAATTACTGATTAAAAAACAACAAACCTGGTTGAAATATTTTGGGAACTGACTTCATAACAAAATTGAAATTGTTAAGAGGCTTTATGCACACTCTGTATGTGTTGTATATAAGAGCATAGCCAGTCCAAAATGGGAGACAAATTTGGGTAAAAATATTTGATAGCAATACCGGATGTCTGGTTTTCAGTAAATCGATCAGAAATAGAGCAAAATGGTGTTGGAAAGGCACATAAATTTATATCTTACTGCAAATGCCCCAAAATTGGAAGTGAAAAAAAATGTGGACAGTTTTATGTGGGCATAGTGCAGCAGACCCTCCCTGGCTATGCCTATATACCACATTATTATACATTGAATGAGATAAGAGGCATAAGGCTTTGACCCAAAATCTTCAACGTAGGAGTCAGCGTTATCAGTTTGGCAAAAGCATTCCTTAAAAATAGCAAAATGCACCAACCATTGAAGCCTTGACAATTTTGAGTTAATCTGACTGATCCTTAATTAAAATAATGATATATGTACAAAACGGAACCAGCAATGAATGATATACTGTGTTCAACTGATGCCTTTTTAAATGGGTCACATGATATGAGTCATAAGGTATTTGTCCTGTTTACATAAAGTGAGGAATATTTACACTATGGCTGTTTGAGGTGATATTCTCGAAGGAATTTGACCAGTAGGATTGTAATTTATCAAGTGGCCAGTTGACTATTTCCAAACCCAATCTGGACTTGTTACAGAACATGAGATTAAACAATCCCATCAGCCTCCTTTGTCTCAAAAAAAAGCATTCACCTCCAATGCAGGACAATTCAGGGTTATTTCTAAACCTAGCCTGGTAGGATAACCAAACATGACTCATGAGTGTTTTTCTCCCCCAAAGATGAATACGAATAACAAAACATTCACCTCTATATTGCACAATCCATCAATCTATCCCTATAGAATTTCTTTCTGGTGGTTTGAGATATTCAAATTCAGGAACAAAATTGTTGCATCTTCAGATATCCTGTGGATAGAATAACATTGTTATAGAGCTCCATGTCCAAAAAATTTCCCTGGATTTTATAGTAATACCAATTGAAAATTCAAAAGTAAAAATAACATGATCTCTTTCATGTTATTTTTACTTTTCACTTTATACTATCTTGTTCAAGCATCCTTGTGGTGAGTACCACATACAGATCCGAAGTAGAGAGTAATCAAGGAGAAAGGACCTGCAGTTCAATACACAATATCGAAGTTCCCCTAATTAAAAATTACTTTGTCTTTGTTTAATACTATTTCTTATTGTGCTTATAGCAATGAATATTTTGTGTTCTGCTGATGCCTCTTTAAATGAGTCACAAAGTTGTAAAGTACTTGCCATGTTTACTTAATAAGGCGAGCCATATTTACACAATGTTTTATTGCCGGAATGCCCGTAACAGGAACTGATTAAATATTAAAATCAAACAACTTTGCACTGAGGGATGATACTAAGAATTTAAATTACTGAGGCAATTAATAATCTGCACAACGATCTATGGCAGAGGTGTGCGACATTTTTTGTCGGTGGGCCATAAAACCAACTTCAGACATCTAGCTGGACCACACAAATAAAAAAAGGTTTTCCATGCAATGCAAGAGAATGCGACTATTGCTTAGCCTTGCAGTAATGGAGGCACCAGGGATAATGGAGCAAAAACATGAATTTTCACCCACATGAGCGACATTTTAAACAATCACAGCAATCTGCGGATATAAATTTTCTGGTAGCCAGCTCGTGGGTAACGGTTATTCCATTGTTTATTGTATGCTAATTTCGCCATACATTAAGATAAGCTTGAATTCATTTTCGAAGTTTCATATTCGAAAATAATAATTTCTAATGTATTCGTAATAGTGAATTATTCGGTATTGGCCATCCCTGACTGTCGGATTCAGATTTTATGCTCGATTGGGAAAATCTGAGTGTTGATAAGGGCCACACTAAATGGAATGGAGGGCCAGGTTGTGACTCGCGGGCCCCCTGTTGCACTCCTGCTCTATGGATATTTATTTTCCATTAAATCATTCTATCTTGCATTAAATTTTCATTCTGAACATTCAATGAGTGACTTTAATTATTACTGCAATGGAGCACTGGTTGCTGATGCACATACAAATTATAATATATATGTGTTAGCAGTAGAACTGGGCATTTCAAATAGGATAGTAAATTATTAAAGGTTGAGATGAATTCCTCAATTTTTTTTATTGAAGCCAGTAATTCATGGGCCTTTAGGATTCACCACAAAAAAAAGTCACATACAATTGAATAACTGAATAATACAATTGAATAATAAGTATTCAATTCGAGATTCAATACGAAAAAATATCGATTCGATTATGAAATCGTCACATATTTAAAAATGCCCGGCCCTTCTCAGTAGTGCTAGAGGCCCTAGAGGGCTAATGAAAAGTACTGTTTAAATGATGTCACTGACACCTAATGTAGTTACTAAAACTAAAATTGAATGCGGTCATTCAAATTAATATCTGAGGACATTTTTATTGTTTCTCTCATTATAAATATCATTGGATCCATAATAAGATGAAAAAGGAAGGAACCTACCTTATTCATTTAGTGAACTGTTCAGCTGCGATGAGCAGGCAAGTGCACGGTACTTCCAGACAATTTTCATCTTTATAAAAGCCATAAATTCCAAAGTAGAAATATTGCTCACATATTATTGTCTACAATAAACCAAGGCTAAAATTACACAAAAAACAATGATCAGCTAACCTCAGCAAAAACGTATTGGATATACTAATTAATACAAGGATTATACGGCAGCATGAAAGAGCAACACAAAAAATTGCACAGCAAAATTAAAAACTGTTGAGCACTGGCTTTGGCAAATAACTAGACACTAATTAAATTCTCTAATATATGAAAACTATTACAGAATACTAAATATGAAATTACTACTGCGCACCATTATTTGCATAAAAATTACAAAATACATTTACTAAAAATAGTTGACTATGACTATTTGAATACACTGTAATTATTACAGTAATTAGGAATATATGAAACTTAAAGAACTTTGGGAATATATATCAAGCAGCTGTTCCATTGGAAGGCAGTGTTTATAATCAAAACATACTGAATTATTACAGCAATTTAGAATCGATTTTAGACTATTAGTACCATTAAGAAGGGATTCAAATTGCATTTAACTCCTGATACCATACTTTAAACATAAGATTATCTTAAAATTGAAAACACAAAATCAATAAGTTAGTCAGTTAGCTGCGTTTTCATACCTAATAAAGAACATGTTTAAGAAATAATTCGCTACGAAAAAGGAGTCAGAATGCATTCTGAATATATGGCTTTACAAAAAATTGAGGTAACCACACATAGACCTTTCATCTTGAGCGATTTGAAAAATTGCTATTGGTTCGAATTGAAATACCCATCCCATTCGTACATTATTTGTCAGAATTCGATTTGGCGATCTCAAATCCCCACGATCCACATTCTATCTCAGCTCCCGGACTATATTTCTTTATTTCCTCGGTTAGAAACTTCATTTGTAATACGTTCAGCATTTGGTCATAGAAGTTGAGTTTCCTCACCCTCTGAAACAGTCGAGAAACAATCATCAGTTCATCATCTGTGAGAGATTCTGTAGTTGATTTTTGCAAGTCTAAGCCAGATAATTTGATATTTTCATTTTCTAAACTTGTGCAAAGAGCTGATAACTGCTCAGTTGTAGGAGTGCAATCTTTTGCAAACAGATATTCTGCACCGGTATTTCTAAGTAACTTTGCCAGTTCTTGAAATGCCCCTTTATCCATGTTGGGATTTCCACCAATGATCAATGAAATCAGTTTGACACCATAATCAGCAGCTGCTTCATTCATCTTACTTATTTTCTCAGCGTTCAGGTCACAGTCATTCAGTCCGAGCCTTTTTGAGCTGCCATGATGAACAAAGCCAATTAAGTAATAAAATCCAAGAGGTTCCAATGCTGGACTTTCTCTTATTGTAAACCATCCAACTTTAAAATTTCCTTTCATCATGGATTCATTTAGAAATCTGAGTTTCTCAGCCTCAGGATCACAGTTAATAAGATAGAAGAATTCCACATGAATGTTCTGTACAGAACTTAGAGCATGTTGCAAAGACAGATGATTCTCTGGATGAATTTCCAATTGGTATGGTTTCAATGATCTTAGTGATGGCATATGCTCCGCGGCAGCCATCACTGCTTGCTGTTCCCTTGGTTTCAAAAAGTCAAATAAACCACCAAACTTCATTTCTTCTATTTTTGAGCAAACTTTCTCGATCACATCAGGACCACATTCGTTTAATAAGGTCACGACTTGTTTATCTGAAATGACTTTTCCTTCTAATAATCTATCCAAGTAACCCATCAGGTATTCAGCCTTGGTATGTAAGTTACCAGAAATATATTTTGCCGCTTTTCCTGAAGTTGATTTGTTGAGAACAATTCCAAAAATATGTTTTATAACGACTTCCATTCCTGATTTCTCATAATTATCCGCAATGAACTTTTTAAATTTATCCAAATCAAGAGTGCAGGCATAGAGAGCAGCAAGTATCTCTTGTAAACTCATGTGTGGGAACCTTATTCTCATGTCATCGTCATCCACAACATACTCAACAAATCTGGTGTCAGCATCCATCTCAACAAGACCACGCATGTCCTTCATGTCTAGGTTGAGTGACTCAATATAGCTTGCGGTGAAAACAAATAAATTCTCTTCAATTCCTTGGAAGGATAACTTCATGAGTTTTGGAACAAGACGATCTACACGTCGTCCATGGCGAGATCCTGAGAAACATCTGAGTACAGATATCATCAGATTTGTTAAAGTGTCAACATCAGTTTCTTTAGAATCTTTCAACACTCGGACCATATAAAAAAAGAACATTGGGTTCGAAACAAGGCCTGGTGCTTTCTGCCTCAGCTCACCAATGATTCTTTTAGCTCCAGAACCAAATAACTTTTCAGCAAGAAGATTTAGGGTTTCATCATCCAATCCCCATAAGGCAAGAGTTTTCTTTGCTTTGAGACCGGGAGGTAGCTTCCAATAAACATGCCACCGTGACGTAGAAAGAATCTTCATTCTTGGATAGATGTGGCCGGATAAAATATTGGCAATAATTGTGTTGGTTTCTGCTGGAGTTTCCACTCCAATTCTAGGATATTCATTCTCAAAAGGCTTTTTAATTTGATCCAAACCATCAACTACAAGTAAGATATGTTGAGAATTTCGCTCGAACCATTCTTTTCCGATCTTATGAAGACTTTTTGGAAGTTTCGATCCAAGCTGTTGGATGAATAGAAGATCGAAAGCCGTTGATTGATAGTCACATTGTAATTTGGAAATATCAACAAAATAGATCATTTTTATTTGTTCTGAAAAAACTAACTTCTTTTCTGAAGCCAGCATTGTATATCTCAGTGAGAATGTTGTTTTTCCAGAACCTGTGTCACCTAGCAACATGACATGGTTGACTAGTTTGTCAGAATGAATATTTGTAACATTCACTGATTGTAAATTAGTCTGTTTGTTGGATTTTGATTGCTTAAACTCTGTCAATTTGGGGAGTATGAAATTCTCCATTTTTGTTTTTTTTCTGACAGATTTTAAAGCAAATTCCAACATCTGCTCAGTGTAATTTTCCACAATCCCAAGAAATTCTTCAGTACTCTTTGCATCTTCCAGTACTTTGGAAGATCTGCCCGGACTGGTTGATCTCTTCGAAAAAAATTCTATCGCCCTTCGCTTCATCCTTCTTAAGATTGTTGTTTCACCATCTTCAATAGGCAATGTTGAATCGGTCAAACTTTCAGACACATCAGATGTCACAATTATCTTTGGCTGAATGTTTTGTTGATTTTCTGCTGGATTTTGCTCATGGATGACTTGTCCTTCCTCTGCCTGATTCTCTCCCTCTCCATGTATAAAAACATCAATTAATAGTCCTATTTTTTCTATCACAGCTGCATCTTGGGTATTTGGATGTCTGGAATGTCTCCATTTCCACAACATTTTTAGGTTGCGTTCCTCTACAGAGAATTTATTATTTTCTGTGATAGTCTCAACCTCCTGTTCAGTGAGAGATAATCCCTGACCTGATCTTGCAAATCTTCTAAATTGTTTTGATAGGTCCTTCAAAACCTGCTGGAAAGTATCTTCAAGTCTTCCAACAGGTGAGGCAGCAGCCTGATGTTCTGCTGTATAATATTGTGTCACAAGTTCTCTTATTTTTTGTGCAGTTGCGTTTGTGCCATTTTTTTCTACCCAAAGCCAGAGTATTTTCTTTTTCTGTTCTCCAACAGAGAATCTGTAGTTTTCAATAATTGTAGTGACATCTTGCACACTGAGAGCAAGTCCATTCCCAGATTGTGCGAATGATATAAAATCCGCAGTTGTGGCAAACTTTTTCACGACTTCAGTAAATGCATCCTCTAATCTTTCAGCCATGGTCATTGACTCATTCAGACAACCCAGAACTTTAAAATTCTAGCAGCATATTTTCGTAAACAATTTGTTATGTTATATTACTGATCTAACAACAAATACATAAAATACTGGCTGTCTAATAATAAACATGGAAAAAATTCAAGTGTTTCAGTGAAAAAAAAAAGAATCTAATTCACCAAAGAAATATTTCCCTTCCTATTGACACTCCTTATCATACCGGTACAATACCGGTAGTGAGATAAATTGAGAAAATTCCAAAACATAGTAAAATCCACCCCACACAGTCACAAGATACCAAAACAATAAGGATAACTACCGGTAATCACAAATTAAGCAACAATATATTCCCATCAAAACTGTGGGACTACCGGTAGCCTGTTAAAAAAAATCGGTCAAATAAATCCCAATGCCTAAAGGAAAACCTCCATAATGCAGTAATGTGATTTTATTACGGCGTCAAGTTAACATGAATTAAAACCAATTTTATTGAATTCATAAAATTCATTAAACTTATTATTTTTGCAGATGTCGGTTCTCCCGTTCATATCTAAATAGGAATGACATTGATAGTTGTACCTACAAATCCCAGCAACTGACTGCCTGAAGGGCGGAAACCTTTTTAATACAGTACGGTAGTTCAGTTTCCTTTACGGTACTTTCCTATTGCTGCTGTTCTCGTTCTAGCGACAATCAAGAACCACAGAACAATACAAAAACACGAGAATATCGGTCAGAGACCGAAGACTTATCGATCGAAAGTTAGGGGATCTGCAAAACAGCGCTCTTACTCCATAGTGACACCTTGTGTCCCGTCAATAATTAATTAATACCTCGCTAATTATACGACATAATTTGCCCAAAATCAATAGGCTTCTGGTCCGGGATAAGATGAATGCACATGCAAAATCTGGAGCAGATTCAATCTCGCTTTCGTGAGATATCGCGTGCATCTAACAGACATACAGACAGACATATACCTATCGATATTAAAATCGATAAGTAATGATAAAGATGTGGAATACGGTACCCAAATCCGCAACCAACAATTACGTAGCTATGCAACAACGCTGCAAAAATCTTGCATATATGTCTTCTGGGCGTCGCCTTCGATGACGACTTATAAATGTTTATTGGTGACGTCATAATTCGTCAAAATCACAAGATTCGATTTGTTTGGGTTCGCTCACGTGAGTAGAATAAAAACTATCCGACGCGTTTTAAATATACACGGAATAAAATAGGATGTATCTCGTATAGATACTATGACGACAAGATCTGAGGCATCAGTTGGAGTATAATGAAATGAATTTTATTAAACAGATAAAACTTTAAAACCAACAGTTTGTTTGTTAATGGAACAGATCTCACCATTTTGTATTTTGCACATTAAGTTATTACTTACTAACGTCACCATAATCTAACGAAACAATTTATAATCAAGATCCATAAGCAGCATATTTAAATTACAAACGTTACACTAATTTTAGATAAAACTGGTATGCATAATATTATTCATCCAAAAACAATGCTTGAAGCAAGCTACTTCTACGAATAATTCAGATTTTGGAATCTCTTAAATTATAAAAATAAGCAAACTGCATTCTAACTTTATAATGCAATGTGAACACTGACGTTCGTATCAATCATACATGGGGTTTTCGGTGTAGCGTTTCCCAGTCGCAAAATGGGAAGGAATTACATTGTTTATGTGGAGGACTTATTACTTTGTAGTTGATGTAATTTCAGTAATATTGTTTTGTTAGTTAGTATTATTGTAATAAATATTTATGGACACACTACAAACTGTACAAAACCAGAATGCGACTTAAGACGTTTTTACGGTACCGGTACCGGTACCGGCAGGCTACTCATATTACCGGTACGATACCGTACCGGTACGGTAGCCTATTAGTTGGGATTTACATATTTATCCCGAGGAGATGAACCCAGATAAGACGGCTTAATTATATCAGCACATGGCGAAACACGGCCCCTCAATCGGCTACCAGTGGGCAGTGACCAGGGCTTATAGTTTTTGAAAACATACAGTATTGATAACTTTTGATTTTGTTCTGTGAAAATGGTTTTGATAATTAGCACATGGGTCAGAATTTTAAACTCAGATTACAGGATTAGATAATATGACATTGCTGCATTGTGGTTTTTCACTACTTTTGTCACATGTTTGAACCTAATTTGACTTTTTTAAAACTCTCCTAAACTTTTGTTCTTTGTTTTGTCATATTTTGTACAATTGTACAAAGTGAAGTTTAATTAGGTTTTTTGTTGATAAAAAATTATGTTAATCTTCTAATAATGCAATAGGGTCTCTAGTTGTAATTTAATTAGAGAAAGATCTATAGTTGCTATGTTTCTAAGGTTTTTATTTTTAGTTCTTTTTAAATTTTATCCGAGTCCTATTGGACCTACTCAACTGAGTTGCAGTTCTTACCACTTCATGGCAGCTCCTGCCACAAACGAACCGCAGCAGCTCTTGCCATGGTTTTATAGCGCTATTCAGTAATCATTATTAACGGTATATTCACAAATTAATGTACTCGATTTCAATTGATCATGTGGGAATTATATCTACCTGAACCCTAACCTTAAACCCAAATCCATCAAAACTGTATCCATAAAAAAGACGATCCAACTTACCCAATATTTATCACCATAAGGGACAGCCCTGTCTTCACGGCCCACCTGCCGCGGTTACGGCAGCAAAATGTTACCTGCCATTAGTTTTCAATTTGCTGTCACGGTAACGGCAGCCTGTCATTGGTTTGTGGCAGGTAAAAAGTCAGTCGCCATAGGTTTGGCCGTAGCGGCCATGGTATGGAAATACCGCCATGGTTTTGCGGCAGCTGCAGACGCCACAGAATACTTAAAACTGCACTTGACTCCACTGCTTAACCATTATCCATTAATTTTACCAGATTTAGACACTTAACACTGTAACAAGGAAATTATCATATAAACCTACATCATGACACATTGGTTCCATAGAAACCCGCTTAAAGCGACTGCTCCACAGGATTTTGATGTTCGGAAAGTAGCTATGAAATCAGATTTCAGTAAAATTATGGGGGATTTAAGGCAAGCTAGAAGAACACTACTGGCTACATTCACAGACCCATCAGCTTCAACTGAAACAATGGAAAAAGCAAGTGGAGCATATTTCTCTCTTTTATTGGGACTTATAAATGCACCCTCTCCAAAACCAGCAGAAACGCAGAAGAAAGAAAATGCTTCGGAAAGTCAAAGCGATGACAAAACTGATGGTGATAAAACAGAGACTCTTAGTGGAGAGGTCGATCAAAAGCTGAAAACTTTTTTTCGCTTCAAATGGTCACAATCGCTTTGGATTTCTAGACCACCGGTGGTGCAAGAGGATGCTGAATATGAGCTTGTGAATATGGGCGTTAATGTAGGAATATGGTACACGAAACATGCCGCTCGAATTTCAGACAAACAAGATATAAATATGGATGACGCTAAGGAGGTTTTGAGAAGTTTGAAAATTGCTGCCGGTATATTCAAAGAATTCAAAGATAATAGAGTAGGACGGCTACTTGTCGAAGGTGATAAAACGTCAGATTTGGACCCAAGAATTCTCGATTGTTACATCACATGCTGCCAAGCGGAAGCGCAAGAAGTCACGCTTGCACGAGCAGTTGAAATGAAACATAGTCATCACTTGATTTCGTCTCTTTCGAATGATACGGCATCGTTTTTTCAACGTGCGGATGGTCATCTCAAAGCTCTTGACCAAGAGGTGGTACTAAAATGGAGGAAGTACCTCCAATTAAAACAGGCTTTCTATAAAGCTTATGCTTATTGCTACCACGGCGAAACACTCCTTGGAAAAGAAAAATGTGGCGACGCCATAAAATGCTTGACTGAAAGTGAAGCTCTAAGTGAAAAATGTTTCAGCCTATGTAAAGAGTACATGTCGACCAAAGGTGCCGGTTCGACGGTCCGTCCGCATGAGCATAATTTCTACCAAAGACTGCAGCGCCAAATCCGTTTTACACTGGATAAATTGAAGCGGGAAAATAGTTTCATTTACTTTCAAAAAGTGCCGGAAGTTGTACCAGATATGGATCTCAAAGCAACGTATGGTCTCGTAGAACCAGAGGTTTATTCAGTCCCAGATATTAACCCTTCATGGACGTCAACAATCTACACTGGATTTAATGTCAGCAAAAATGTGGAAAACAATAAAAAAGGAAAGAAACCCCAAAAGGATGTTGACGTCGTGCCAGTGAAAGAACCAGATATCAAAGTAACCAGAGGAAGTGACTGTACTATATCATAAACTTCATCAAAAAATGTTTTTGATTGTTTATTGTTTGATACTTATGAAGTTAAAAAATCGAATCAATATTTTATCTTTTTTAGTTAAATTTCTGATCTTTGTAGAAGGCAATTATCTGAGTTTTTTGAAATATCATATTATGTCTCGTTTGTAATAATTAAGTTGAATGATTTTGGTGAAAATAGACTTGCAGCAGAAAAAAAATCGTAAACAAAAAAAAATTTTCTTGTTCAAATTTTGTTATTTAATAAGAGTGAAACATCAGCTTTTCTGGATTTCTACTTCATATACTTTCTCTAACCATTTACTTACCAAAAAAATTGGCAAGTCAATATTGGGACAAAAACGTTGAAAAATGCTTTTTTAGATTCAAATTTGGTATTTGATGGCACAATATATAATCCACGTTGTATATATTATAGTTCTTGCGTTCAATGAATAATTAACTAACGAGCACAATATTTTCAATTTTTTTCTTATTTTTCGTGTCATTTTACTCTTGTTGGACTTCAATGAAGTTCATACGGATTTGCAAAGATTAGCTGAATTAGATTTAAGTTATAAAGTATAATCTTAATCTCGTAATTCACAAAATTCCTAATTGGGTAATGCCTTTTCTGTAAAAGTTCTGAACAGGTACTAAATAGGCAGTTCCTTATACATTCGTTCAAGAGAATGGCATATTTTTTTATTAAATGAAGTATATCAGGGCCCAGGGGGGTCCAAGGTTCCGAGATTGAAGTGCCGCAAAAATTTTGAGGAGGCCTTGCGAGCTGCAAATAAATGAAGCATAAACAAAACAATGTATTGTTTCTTGTTTTAGATTTCTGCTTCAGGTCTGCAGATGCATGAAATGTGAACGTGCCAGAGTTTGGACCACTCTGAAGTATATAATTAAATGTCTATCAGCGTTTATTACAACAGATTTGATCAATTCATGTCAAATTCCAAACTAGGGCAGATTTTATAAGTGAATTTTTCAAGGGATATCTGATATTTTTGAAGCTCTTGAAATTATCTCAATCGGCACAGTTTCGGAACCACTGATTCTGATAAATTTTTTATTCCCATATATTTTAAAAGCTGCCGTTTCCGTATATAATATTTTGTCTCACTAGTCATACAGTAAGAATGCTTTTCTTGTTTTTTTTTATTTTTCTGTTATAAAATTGTGTTTGATGAATTTGGAAAACCTCTTACACATGAGCAATAGTTTCATTTGAAAACTGTTTGTGTGATGTATTCATTTGAAACGTAGCTACATAGGAGAACCCAACAATCACTAGAGCAGCGTTTCTCAAACTTCATGGCTCTGCGAACACAGATTTTCCTGTATCGATATGTGGCGCCTCCATTTTAATCTGAAAATAGATTAAGTATTCACCGTATATACAGACTTAAAAGAACTTTATTATTATTTTTGCACCAAATACTATCATATAAAATGTAATGATTTGTAACTATCAGTTGAAATTTCCTTGGTCCATGCCTTTTTGCAAGTGGATTCTTATGCATATACCGCAAGGATGCTGTAACAAGTGTAAAGTTAACAATTCTGTTCCGTTCAAGAGTCCTGCTGCACACTAACACGAATGTATTTCTGCAACGTTTCGTTCTTAAAACAAGCATTTTACAACTTTGACTTGTAAATAACTTCAGAGAAACATGTCTTTGGCCAGACGAAACATTACAGAAATACATTTGTGTTAATTTACAGCAACACTCTTGAATTAGGTAAATAGAATAATCATTTGTTGCTAGCAATTGTATTCTGCCAGGCTTCATGGATATTTGTATATATATGAATATTGTTAAATTTTTGCTATGCATGCAATTTATTGTATATTGTAGTTCATGTAATCACATTATCTACCGTTTTAATATTTTCTGATGAAAATTATCATTTTTTCATTCATATCTTCAGTATTCCTTCATGCTGAAACTTGTTAGTGAATGGTCAATCTATGTTACACTGCAAACTTTTTTGCACTCGGAAGCTGACTTATACTGTTTATGTCGTATATTTACTCCCATTAGTCCCATATACAGTAATTTGATCAAAAAGGCACAAATGAGGTACCGTAGTAGATTAAAGATTTTAGCTTCCCATTTTTTTCTTGCTTCACCTTCCCCCTCTCTCCCCAATATTCCAGGCTCAAGTGAATATTTTTATGACGTTTTGAATAGGACACTGAATATGCTGCCAATAATGGGTAAAGAAACTATCATTTTTGAATTATAAATACAGTAATTTTGCTTAAAAAGGCATAAAAGCGGTGGATTGACGATTTTAGTTTTCAATTTCATTCTCGCCGACGGCTGATATTCTGGCTCAGTGCGCTGGTAAGGAAATATCATTTTTAAATACTGGAATCTTTACGGTTACGGTTTATTGTATTCATTGAATTTTTCAAATCAGAGTAATAGTGGGGCGATAATATAATTTTCGTAACAGCCTTTTATTATTACTGCACTTAAATTTGATGCTTGCAATTGTCGCGTTATAGATTATATACTTTCATTTATTAAAGCCCACATTGATCAAATTCACTTTTCCAAGTCCAGAAATCAATGAAGCATGAATTGGCAGCATTTGTATCTCGTTTTTGGTAGAATACATACCTGAATTCAGACAGTACTTACCGTATTTTTTTGTTGTTGATGGATTTGACTTGTTATTTTTTCGCTGCTACATCGCTATGCTGGCATCCCTATATTTCAGTTTGTCAGCAACAGGGAGTGTTTTGAATTTTTTTTGTCCATCTTATGTTTTGGTTATTAATGTTACATTTGTGTAAGAAAACAATATTTTAATTTAAAAGCCAGCATCTACACTTCCCAATTGGCATAAGCTTATTCTGGCCAGTAACGCTTCATTGATTAAATAGTCAAGTAGCCCAGATCACTTTTATTGTACATAAATGCTCTTTAATTTGTGTATATTTCAGAATATAATAATAGATAGCAAAGGTAGTATTATGTGCTGAGATAACATTGTTGCTCAGAAAAGTGGGATTTCAAGCAGAAAGACAGTGCAATAGCAGATTTTCTTCAGAAGTAGGTAAGTTTTTGGTCGATATACTGAATTTTTATAAGCAGAGGTTAAGGGTTCCCAAGGAATCATCAAAGCCATTACATAGGGGTATAGCCCTAGCCCAAAGAATACTCTTGTTTCTCATCTTCATTGCTTGCTTTTTTTCTAATGCTGTTTGAACTTCTTATTAAATCCTACTGTTTAAAATGCTCGAAACGGGACTTGATCTTGATAGTTAGCATTCAACAGTCCATAAATAGCTCGCTATTCTATTCACAATACAGAGATCTTTTTTCTATTACCTATAACATGGTTGTGCAATCTTCATTACAGGAGGCCGAGATACAAACGAGAATATCGGTCAGAGACCGAAGACTTATTGATCGAAAGTCAGGGGATCCCCAAAACAGCGCTCTTACTCCATAGTGACACCTTGTGTCCCATCACTAATTAATTAATAACTCGCTAATTATACGACATAATTCATCCAAAATCAATAGGCTCCTAGTCCGACATATGATGAATGCACATGCAAAATCTGGAGCAGATTCTCGCTTTCGTAAGATATCGCGTGCATCCAACAAACAGACAAATACCTATCAACATACTTACCGATTAAAATTGATAAGTAATAACTGGGTGAAACCAAGGGCTGCAACTTTATTTAACATAGGCTTTCTAGTAGTTGCAGGCACAACAATTTTGATTATTGATCTTATGACATGCATTGTTCGCTTCGCACAAGCTAGCTGTTAGGGCATTGTATCGTCATAGGCATAGATAATAAGTTGGACTTCGGTATAGGCTTCACAAGAAGATATTGGAATCACTCGCACACATACTTGAATTAAACCAAATTAAAAACTCATTTTGTGGGCTGCAAACAGTGACGTGCCTAGAGGGGGACGTGCCCGGGCAGCACATTATAGGGGGCAGCAGAACCAAGCTGTAGAGTTTGGGTTGTTACACATGCTCTTCTAGATGTGTTTTTATTTAATTAAAAGCTAACATTATGTGTTCTGTGGTGATGGTTATTCAACAAGGGTGGCTTCCCCGACCCTTGAACCCAGAAAAAATTTTCCTATATTTTACAATTGCAACATTTTTGAAGCTCATTTTAATAAAACAAACATTCAACAAGGGTGGCTTCCCCGACCCTTGAACCCAGAAAAAATTTTCCTATATTTTACAATTGCAACATTTTTGAAGCTCATTTTAATAAAACAAACATTTCTTCATTATTTGATCTTTATTTGATTTATTCTCGTGTATACCGACATCTATAATCTGTTCATCACCCAAATTATTACTTATCGATCTTAAGATCGGTAAGTATGTTGATAGGTATTTGTCTGTCTGTATGTCTGTGTGTTAGTTGCATGCGATATCTCACGGAAGCGAGGTTGAATCTGCTCCAAATTGTATGTGCATTCATCATAGCTCGGATCAGAAGCCTATTGATTTTGGATGGATTATGTCTTATAATTAGCGAGTTATTAATTAATTAGTAATGGGACACACGGTGTCACTATGGAGTAAGACCACAGTTTTGGGGGATCCCCTAACCTTCGATCGATAAGTCTTCGGTTTCTAACCGATATTCTAGTTTTAGAAGTTAGGCATAAGAGGCATCAAAAACTCGCCCCAGGCAGCAGACTAGTTTGGCACACCCCTGGCTGCAAACCATTTAACATTGGCACTTCTCCGTGGGCTGCACAATTTTTTTTATGTGGGTCGCATCTGGCCCGCAGGTGGCAGGTGGCACACTTCTAACCTATTATACAGGGTTACTATTTTGTTTGACAGAATGGCAGAAGAGACTGACAGTGGTTTAGACGAATCATTTGAAATTTTAGACATTCGTGGAACAGCTGGTGGACCATTAGGTATTGAACTATCAGTAATAGTATTATAATCGCAATTCGATTTTTAAAAATATGATTACTGGTCATTATTTGAAATTCCTATATACCGTGTTTCCCCGAAAATAAGACCTACCCTGGATTTTAAAAATGATTTTAATTTAAGCCTATCTCTCAAAATAAGACTTAGTCAATATTGTGAATTTTTTTTTTACCTAGTCGATAGCAAGAAATCTCTCTTCACGTTTTATATGATTAATAAGATATGTTCGAAATAAGACCCAGTCTTATTTTCGGGGAAACATGGTAGATCAATTTTGGCAATGCAGATTTTTTGAAATAAAGATTGTTTTGATCAATTATTACGGTTAAAGTGAGAATTAAGTTTATTATTTGTCTCACTTTTACATACGATAGTATATGATTTACATTTTTATACTGGGGGAGAGGAAAACCGATCATATGGGAACCACGGCCTCTCGTCCAGTTACCAGCCCATGTCTGGTATGGGATTAGTTAGCCAGGTATTTGTTTCCGGAAGCATGGACCAATATACAAATACTCCAAATACCAAGTTTTCAGATATATTTCAAATTATTCAAAAAATCATTAAATTCACTAAATATGGATTATAACTAAGTACTTGAACTTCAAGTAGACTTGAACGCTCAATTCGTTTATCGACTCCTATATTTTTTGGGAAGAACATGAATGAATATCATGTTACCATACATACCATGAGTGATTCAAGAGTTTTATGACCTTGGTCAGCCGAAACATAGGGTATTTAATTTTCATTTTTGCTCCAATATCCTTACATTGTATGTATACAAATCTACCATTGCATTGAAGAAGGTTAAGTACCGATAGTTCTTCCCTCAGAAAGCCAACACGACCCAAAAATGATTCAAATCCTTGTTTTACAGGCACAGTGATGAACACTGTGACGCAATACTTGGACAAATATCCGACGACAACAAGAGTTGTTCTTGGTGGCACTGGCGGTTATGTTACTGGATATGTGTTTAAAACGGTAAGATTTTCATATTTTGGGGGAGAGAGAAATGCGAATAACACCGGACCCAGATATAATTGTGAATTTTCTTGGATTGACAATCCCAGTACATAGGCGTAACCGGGGGAGGGCCCCCAAGATTTTCAGCAATTTTGTGGCAATTGCAGTGGGACAAATTGTTATGGCCTTTCCAAACACGATTTTATTATTGGAAAGTGACTTTTCTTAGATTGCTATCAATAATCTTTTCACTGAATGAACTAACTGAGATTGATGAAATAAGCTTGTATACCTTGGATGGGTGGTTGACGTAACCGCTGGTCGGTTACGGCTTCCTCCACCACCAAGTCCATGCTTCCGAAAACAAACAATACAGTAAAACTAATCCCATACCCGACTTGGAATGGTAACCGGACGAGAGGCCGTGGTTCGCCATATGGATAAGCCGTCTTATCGGCTTTCCTCTTCCCCGGGATAAATACGTAAATCCTATCCTATAACTCCAACAGCAAAGCAAGTCTGTAGGGGTATTCTTCAAGATATTCTTGGATATCAGTGGCTGTTTTTATCTACCCTTTTTCTAAGCAAAAGGCATGAGTAAATGTCGTATAACGTCATTATACGAAAAATATTTGCCCCACCCTCGTCCTGGTAGTGAATATAGATAATTTCAAAGTAAAATGAGTATGTGATACATCTTGGACATTCCTTTGCATGCCTACTATCATACTCCAACTTCATTTTTCTAGGTTGGGAAGACAGCGGCAAGTGCGGTAGGAGGGGGGCTACTTTTGATTCAAATCGCACATAAGTGAGTTTTGAGATTTTATTTCATTTGTGACCTTATTAACCATGTTTTTTTTAATTAGACCTAACAATAAAAAGATCTAATAATAATAGTATCTCCATATGGCGCTCCAGAAGTATGTGCACCAAGATGGTGGATACCGGAACGTCGTATGTGTACCAGAACCAGGTTAGGGTTAGACCATACTTTTATTTCAATTTTTCATATTTTAGTTCTATTACGAGTTCGGTGACTAGTCAAGTGACTCCCGTAGTATTTGTACCTGAAATTATGGCCTAACCCTCTGATCTGGTACACATACGGCGTTCAGGTGACTACCATCTTGATGCACATACTTCTGGGAGTACCCTCCACATCAGTTATCCAACACTTCAACCACAACCAGTAGGCCAGCGGTACCCAACCTCTTGTGGCCCTCTTGCTGACGCTTTTAGCATTCATGGCCCCTGTTTATCCTTCCATTGGTATTTATAGTGTTATTTTGATTGCTAGTTTCCAAATCCCATCATGTTCAAACAATGCATGCTCGACAAAGTAAAAACACGCTATGAAATAACCTTATCAAGCATTGGAACCAGGAAGAACAAGGGGTATTCTTGTGAAATGAAAAGTAAAATCAGTTTTACGCCGAGCATTGTGCCCCCCCCTCAACTTCTTTGTGGCCTCCTAGGGGCCATGGGCATCTAGTTGAAAACTGCTGCACTAGGCCACCGTGTCCACTCAATTAAATCGGCCTATTCAGAATAAAAGCTCATTATTCATTTCTTATTTTTAGAGCTGGTTATATCACAATCAACACGTCACGCTTGAATAGAGATGCAAGAAGATTTGAACGCAGGGTACGAAATGAGATGAGACGAAATGAATCAGCATTCACAAACTTTGCAAGAAGGGGTGAAGAATTTGTCCGAAATAACTCGCCAGCTGCGCTCGGGTTCGCTGCTGGGTTTTTAATCGGGCTCTCAACTTGAGATTTATTTCTAAATACTGATAATGCATGTTGCTTCCAGGGTAGACACTAGGTGTAGTGAAGCTATCCAATAAAGTAAAATAAAAATATTTGTTAGATTTGATCTTGCCTGCTTTATTTGGATATTTACATTTCTTTATTGTTCAAAGATTGCGATGCTATCCACATATTTCAATGTGTTTTTTAAATAAACTTAAAAACCTTATTGTTTGGGCTGCCTTTTACCAAAAACAAACATGACTTTGCCACATAAAATAAATTAAAACACCACAGATATATGTGAAAAATGATTTCCTGCACAAAGGCCCTTTTCAACTGTGAACTTGTGTATTATATGAGGAATAATTACTCAACCTATGCTTGATTTTCGGTGTTTGTCCATATAGTCCAGGGGTGGGCCAACCGAAGTGTTTCATGCCCAAGACTATATATTTAAGGATATAAATTTTCGATTAAAATATTGATGATTGAGTTCGGCCCAGGAACTAAGTCTTTTCATTGTCTATAACTGGCCGACTCAGAAAAGATTGCCCAACTCTGATATCACTCATATCTGATGCAAAGATGAGCATTTTATTGGCGTTTAAATGAAAATAAACAATTGTTACTGAAATCCAACAACCACTTTTGAAGCAATAATTTACTTGTATTTGTCTAAATCTTTCATTTATGTGTCTGAGCAGTTGAAATTTGCCTAATTTTGAAAGTGTGAGAAATAAATTTTACGGAACATAAGGCTTTGTTTCATTTACCCAGTTTATGAAAGTGTAAAAAATAGTAAATTATTTATCGAATGAATGTACCAGGGCACAGTCTAAATTCTTTTTTTCTTTCTAATAAAATGGTCTTGTGCCATCAGGTCTTACTCGGAGGTAGTGCCTTATCCTATATTGCACACACTCAAAATCGGTCATTGGGTAATTATAATTGGGGGCAACTCATGTGCGAATAAAACCAAATTCAATCAATTTAGTGGACATAACGATCGTTTTGTTGCTATGTTGTTCTTTGACACTTTTTGGACACCTAGTGGAAATATTAAAAAAAAACGCTTTTCTCTTTGATCACTGGACCAATTGCTTTGAAATTTTTAGTGGTTAAAGATGAAATTTTTCTCCAGAAGGCTATTACTTTTATTTATTCCAGATATTTCTGTTAGCCCTGTGAGATTTGTCGAACGCCATTTTGTGTCCTACTGTACTGCTTCGCTTGGTGTGAATATATTTGTAGACTGTGATCTGACAGTACGGTAAACCATACTGTACTGCGAACAGGAGTGTCCATATATTTGGGCGTAGCTCTCTTGTTTACAATGCGCCTCATGGCCCGTTAAATACGGCTCATTAATAGAAATCTTTTTTATCCCTACACCCGTGTCACACACAGTCGCAGGTACAAGCATGTTGCATGTGAATTCAATCAGTGTGCGAAATTTTCATTATCACATTTCAACTTTTGACTATATGTTGCAAGATGTTTGTTTGTTGCCAAAATGTAAAGAAATAAAGTTTGTGTCACGAAATTGTGTTTGACAATTCAACAATTGGGGCAAAGGTCTTTAAGAGGGCCCATGTATTCCTATTATGCACAGGTTCGAATCCCATGCGGGATAGTTATGTGCGAGAGGATTCTGGACTTCTTGGCCATCGTAGGTCGTTCATGTAGCCAATGGTCAGTTACGGCTTCCTCTACCAGCAAGTTCGTGCTTTTTCAAACAAATAACTGGCTAACTAATCCCATAACCACTAGAGCTCGACCGATATATCGGGCCGGTATCGCGTGTTTGCCGATATATCATATCGGCCCAATCGGCCGATATATCTGGCCGATATATATCAGCGTTAGTCGCTTTTCCACGTTCTAAAAAATGAGTATTTTCCCCGGGAAATATCTGCGGCCGAGCGTTTTCCTTTTTTACGCTTCTCTCATTTTGCCTTTCAATGAACAGAGAGTTCTCTTCTATATTTCTCTCTTCGTGCGGCACAAAATCCTCGCCTTCGAATATCTTGCGTCCCCACTAGGCTTGCACGTAATCGACAAAAATCAATTCCGTAATTACGGAAAAATTGATTACGTAATGACCCCGTAATTGCGATATTTTTTCACACGTTTAAACCCATCATAAAAACCATTCGAATCCACCTCTTTTCCGAATGGGACATCGAAGTTTGGTTTTCATATTACCGACAGTACTACACGCCGGCGACAGATGTTAAAGACAAATACCAAGGAGTGAATTCAAATTAAATTTATTCTGATTTTTATCTTGTTTAATTGTGTTGGCTTTGATTTTCCTTTATCACGTTCGCAAATTAACCGTCCCAATTTTATCATTACCGATAATGGTATACGGATATTTATGAAACGATAGTTGCCTTTTTTAAAATCGACTTTCGTATTGAATAAAAATTTCGGGTTTCTAAGTTATTAATCAACGACAAGCGTATTTTCTCGTTTGATTATACCTGCGCTTGCCTCGCGACGAAGATTTGTAATTGCTCCGTTTTTTTACATTATCCGACTTTGCTACCTAGTTAGCATTTTATAATAATTATTGATGCTGAATTATTGACGATATTCCGATTACCAAGCTCCATTTCATATCAAATCATTTCGCGGCCTAAATGTTATAACATAATTGGCGATAAATTTAAATCAAATAATAATTATTTAGCCGGCGATAAATTCTTACCCGTAACTTGTTGTAAATTAATGCTAATAAATTCTATTTTGTTTTTTAATGCGCTGTGATTTGTATTAATGAAAGTGATTGAGTCGGGAAAAGAAAGTAGCCTAGCCTCCTCTCCTTTTGAGCGCTTATAGTGGCGGTAAAATTTGTTTCATGTCTGTTTCACGGAGAGAAAGAAAAATACGCCTTCCGGAATTACAATCAACTATCACACATTCTTATTTATCATTATCAGCGCCGAATAAAAAAGATACCTAATCGTGAAGACAAAAAAGTCTGTCGGTGCTAATTGCATTACGGTGATAACGCTTATAATAATATCGTTTTGACCGTGAAACCAAACGCTCAAACGGGGTGGCAACGCGTCATGCCGGCTCAAAACGGCTGTGAATACCGGAACTCTAACTTCTTCTACTTGTTAAACTTTGATTTTTTACAATCGACGGAATTGACTGCTTGGAAGGAGCACGTTTCAAACGCGAAAGCGCTCGACCAATAATTACGACTTTACGTAATTTGCAACTTCCCTTCCGTAACTCCAAACAATTCCGTAAATTACGTGCAAGCCTACTCCCACCTACTACTGTATGGATCAAAATGGACTTCTATAAGCTTTTTACTGACTGCCTTTTTTCTCTTGTGCATTAATGTGTGTTCTTATTATTTGCTGCGAAACTTTTATTAATGATGCAAGCACTGTGTAGGACTGCTTTATTTTTCAACATAAACTTTTGATTGACTGAAACTGAATGTTTCTTTCTATTTGTATTTACTGCAGGTTCGAGTGTAGATATCGGTATGTCAATATCGGTTATCGGTCACTAGTTGGCCGATATATCGTTATCGGTATCGGTGCCAAAAAGTGATATCGGTCGAGCTCTAATAACCACCATGGTAACCGAACTAGAGGCCGTGGTTCGCCATATGATTATGTCGTCTTCACAGCCATGGGGGGCTGTTGGTTGTCATATAGTACCACGGTCTTATTGAATTTAATATTTCCAGGGATAATTAGCAAAAACACTATCTTAATGGCTGGACTCGACGGTTTGTGCAGAGTTAGGATCTTTGCAGATTTGAATCCTCAGGCGTTATCGTAGTTGAGTAGAATATAACTGGATATCCCTCATTTGATGGCCCAGGTAATATCTGTGGGTTACCGTACGGCTCAATTAATCCAAGCATCTGAACCGATTTGTCAAGTTATAACCAACGACTAACATACCGTTATAACTATTTAGACTTAGGGACCATAATATACATATTTAATCTGTTTTTTGTTTTATATTTGTCAAAAGGGGTGCGTGCCGCACATTTGTGTTTTAGGCCAGCACGGTCTTGTGCATGCATCCCGTCTTAAATAATAATAATTGTTCATTTAATCATGTATCACTATTACGAGACGAATAAACATACATACAGATACATACATCGGACGAGAGGACTGAATCTGTATACCTTCATCCCTAACTGATTTTTCAAAAAAGTACCTTTCTAACATTTTGTAACTTTTGCTGATATTGAAGCCGACGACATGTTATTATATTGTTAACAATCGATTGTCAATTGTTACAGACCAGATCTGAATTTGTATTGCAACATATTGATTCTTCGATGATAAATTTTCAAGATCCTCGATCTTCCCCTAATCATACATGTATTAACCGTTACATTCGCTCCAATTATCGCCTGTTTCCAGCCCCAGGCAGTTATCCACTGGTATGTTCTGGCTGCTATCTTTCAGTAGGAATTTTCGATGTGGAAAACAATATCCAACCAGCTTAATATATAAGATGTTGATTTAACAATGCTAGTATTTATTAGAGTCTCGTACATTGCATGTAAAACAAAAAAAATTGGGTCTTACTACTTACTGAATACAGCGCGAAACAACGCAAAGAGCGCAAAATCGCGCGAAACATGGCAAATTAGCGCGAAACAGCGCAAAACAGCGCGAAACAGAAGGAAACCAGCGCAAAACAGAGGAACGCAGTCATTACCACCTCCTGCCACGAAAAAACCACGGCGCCTCTCGCCATGGTTTTATGGCGCTATTTCCGATATATTTACAAGGTTATGTACCAGATTATAAGTCATCATGCGAAATTTTATCTACCTTTTTTGGTGCTCCAGAAGTATGTGCAGCAATATGTCGCACAACCTGAATCCGCTACACACACACATATACTATTTTCAGGTTGTGCGCCATCTTGGTGCACATACTTCTGGAGGTCCCTTTTTACCTAACCCTAACCCTAAAGCCAACCATAACTATAGGGAAAATGTTCTAAATTATGGTACCCAAAATGTGTCACCAGCAGGGGCAGACCTGTCATTACAGCATTACTGGCTACATACGTTGGTTTATGTTTTTAATTTGCTGCCGTGGTACTCTAACTCAAAACAAGGTGCCCCGAACTCATTGCAAAATGTTTTTTTCATCCTCTGTTTTGCGCTGTTTCCCTCTGTTTTGCGCTCTTTGTGGTGTTTCGCGATGTATTCAGTAAGCAGTAAGACCGAAAAAAAGTTATGAAATGGACTTACCAGACCTGAAACTTTAACCAACTTATAGCCAAATCCCAAAATATTCTATAAGAGATCAAGTCAACTTTCCAAAGAGTAGCTTTTTTTATTTATTCCTTATTTACATACGTTTAACTGTGAATCTTAATAGTGAACTTGGGGGAAGCTGACTCTGATAAATAATATGGTCGTATCGCTCCCTCCAGTCTATACCGAATTAACTTTGTGTATATTGTATATATATTTTCGTTTGTTTTCTGGTTGACAAAACAATAAATCTCTCTCTCTCTCTCTCCATGACGGCAAATAAATATATGAATCCAAAAAATTGAAACTTGTATGCAGATCCGGATTTTATATTTTGACTTTACCAAGTTTCCTTGCAGGTTTTGGGAATTCTACGTTAGCAGTGTTTCCTAGAATTGTTGTCAGTTTATGAGGACTATTATTATTAATTAATAATTAATGTGAATTGCAGCACTATTATATCTTAATTATCCTTTTATATCTTAATTAACGATTA